GAGGTAAGAGGAGAGGAGAGCCAGAGTTCCACAGGCCACTGGAGGGAGGGGTTGGGGGCAAAGGCTTAGGTTCTTCTATCCCCTTCTCCCCAACACCCTTCTCCTCAACTCCATCCAGCCAGCCTCTGGAGATCTTATAGGTAAAACTGTGAGCAGGGAGGTACACCCAACCAAAGTACGATTATGAGCAATCTTTTTTGGTCATGCTCAATATTTTGATTTTGAAATCAAACCTGGAGTTCTGGTATATTCTGTGGGCAATAATAAAATTTTGTGCCAACTTTTTTTTAGACAGTCTCAAATGGCAGCCTTACAGTTACTCTCACATACTGGAAAACAAAGAGCCAAGATTTTACACAAAGGTGAGTAAAAAAGAGAAATCCCTCAACTGTATGTATTATACTGCTTAGTCCTAAGATAAGGTGGTTTTCAGGCCCTGTTATGCTCATTAAAAGTTATCCTCATGGGACTGGAGTGGGGGCAATGATGTATGCTCCTTGAATATTTACTGTGTGTTAAGCAGCAAGTATAGAAGGAAGAATATGACACAGGCCTTGTTCTGGCATTACAGAGAGCCACCTGATAGCCAATGATCATACAGTGTGAAATTACTGTAGCACCATGAAATATGCTTTATGTTATATAAAGGAGGTGGTTGTTAGCACTGTTGGCAAGGCCTGGGGTGTCAGGGTAGACCTCACAAAAGAGGTGACACCTGAGAAGGTTTTAAGGATGAATGGAAATTGGGCAAGTAAATGAGATAGGGAAGGGCATTCCAGGTAGCAGGAAGCAGAATGTGCTAAGGCAAATGTGTTTAAGAACCACAGATTGCTGTTATTTCTGCAGAATAAATAGTAAAGCAGGAAGTGGAGCTGGAGACAGAATTAGAGGGAGGCAGGCAAGCTGAGGACTGAATTTGAACTTGAGGACAATGATGCAGCAACAGAGGGTTATAATAAGAGATGAATGGTGGGGGCAAACTGATGAGGTCTGTGTTTCACAAAATGAACCTTTGGTGGTAACATGGAAGGTAACCAGGGGGTAAAGACTAGAGGCCTGAGACCAGTGAGGCTGCTGGAAAATTCTAGGCAAGAGAAAGAGTGGACAGGTAGTAAGGCTGAAGAATACTGAGCTTGAAATCCATTTATTTTATTTCTCCTTTCCTTTGGTTCTTGTGTTTCTCAAGGCTGATTGATCTCCCTTCATCCCAAAAGATAGTACAAACTTGAGTTCAGGCTTGTAACTGAGCTGGACTTTATTGGGGCTGGCCCGAAGTCCCCCAAACACCACTGCCATTGCTGGGTTCACTTCCAGGGCCAACCCCAAGAGGTGGCAGGATCTTACAAAGATCACCATGAGTTGTTTTTCCCAGCAAAGGTAGCTTTAGGGCCCCCTATTTCTCCTCAGAGGATGAGAAGTCCTTCCCCCTGGGTCACTTGGCAGGTATCAGATAGTCTTTGGGGGCCCCCAGGCTGGTTCAGAGTCTGCAAGCTGGCCTCTGCCAAGAAGGGGAGGATGGGGGCTTCCTGCAAACTCCCTCAGCACAAGGAAACTTGATTCTGCAGGAAGGCCCAGGACCCAGAACGGGAAGACAGAGGATCTGCGCCTGAGAATGGTGAAAAGGGAGCAGCATTGTTCCTGGTGGGTTCACTCTCAGTCCAGACAGTGGCTATCTCCCCCTTCATTATCATCTCAAAGGGGGGTAAAAAATGGGCCCTGTGAGCTGGCTTCTCCCCTGTAACAACTTCTTCCTCTCAGGAGACAGTTTGCACAATGGAGGAGGGGCCGGGCAGGGGCTGACCCAGGCAGCCCACACTCTGCCAAAGCTGCCCGGGACAGTGGGGCTGGCCCGCCACCTGCTGGCCACTCCTGGTGGCGGGGGACAGGCATCTTTTGAGAACTCTGCAGGGGAGGACTGGGATTCCCAGGCAGCCAGCATCAATTTGGAGAAAGCTGGGAATGTATTAAGATTCAGAGAGGTTAGGAAGCTGGAGAAGAATCTAGGATGGAGCTCTGCAGGAGAAGCTGATGTGTCCGTAGGCTGGAAGTCCAATGGATTCATAACTAGTTTCCTGGAAAGTTAATGTGCCTCAGTTTCTCCCTTCTTCCCTTTTTACTCACTGAAGGGCAAGAAAAAGATTGCTGTTTCTGAGACCTAATTAAATGTTGGTAAAAGAGGCATGATTGACATAGACTGGGAGACATTCCTCTGGCCAAAATCATGTCCCCCATCAGCATGCACAGCCTAAAATTCACACATTGGTCATGACTGCAGAATAGAGAGATGAAAACCAAGTCAAACTTAAATGTTACTTGGATGGGTGAGATAGGTGATAGGGATTAAGGAGTGAACTTGTCATAATGAGCATAAGATGATGCACAGAATTGTTGAATCACTATGTTGTACACCTGAAACTAACATAACACGGTAGGTTAACTGGAATTAAAATAAAAACTTAAAATAATAAACGTTACTTGAGTGAGGCCATTCATTGCATTTCAGCCTCATTCACTGTGCCTGCACACTGTACTACTTACCACATGGGCACTGGGAGGACAGAGATTAATAAGACTCTGTCTTATCACTCAGGAACTGATAGGCACAAGTGACCAATAGAAAACTCTGCACAGTAGGACAAATCCTAATCCACTCTGCTCATTATTGAGGATGAAGAGATTTAAATAAACATGGCTATGAGGGGCTGCCATCAAGATGATTAATGTGGCATAGGTCACAGAAGTCTGTAATAGTTACATACACTTACGTAGCACCTACTATCTACCAGACACATCCTAAGCACTTTTATATTAACTCAGATATTAACCCACTTACATGAATTAACTCTACAAGCTAGGTACTATTTTATTCACATTTAGGTATAGTAACTTGCAAAGGTCATTCAGCTACTATGGGGTACAGATGGGATTTGAACCCAAACAGCTTAGCTCTGAAGTCTGTGTTCCTCACCATTGTACAATGCTGTCATTTACAGCTCACCCTCCAAACAGAAAGTAACTTTCTTGATAAAGAGGTTTTTAAATAACCCTTGACCATTGCCATATCATGGCAAACCCTGGCTGAGGCCAAGATAACATGGTCAGCAGAGAACACTCAAAACCAAGGTCCAGTATGGGGTTAAAAAGAAACAAGAAGACTGCAAAGGCCATGCAGGCATTTTGATTAGTGGGCAGACAGGCAGCAGGAGGCTGTACAGGCAGGAGGGCCTGGAAGCAAAATCTCTGCAGAAATCAACTGCTAAACTCAGAATCAAAAGATGCTGCTTTGCATAAGTGCAGAAACAGATAAACAAGGCTTCAAGATGGGATGCTACAAGTGAGCAGTCATATTGAAGATAATGAAGACTGGATCAAAACAGAGGCTGTGCCCATGACTTCGCCTTGCTTAAGAAGAACCAACTTTTTAGCAGGAAAGTAAAGACTACTGTCTACACCTGCTGAACTATCTTTCATGTTGATGGTACTGAGTATCATACACTATAAATATCTCCCATTCCAAAGTACAGGCTTAATCATTCCCACTTGAGTTAACTTCTCAAGTGAATGTTGAGTGCGCGCACGCATGTTAGAACAGCAAAGCCTAGGACCTGCTCAGTGAACTGAATGCATTAATTTATTCACCTAAGACCTATTAGGTGTCTACGATGTGCCTACTATGTGGCAGCCTTTGGAGACGCATGCATGCAACCTTGCTCTCCAGCCCCATGACCATTTATGGGTTCACTGTCAGAAGTGCCCTGGATGGAGGGCTTCCATGTCTCCACATTTGGCCTTATTTTCTAGACTGCAAATTCTATGTCTCCCAACTAGGGCTGATAGTACTTAGCACCCTCTCTACCAAAAGTTTGGTGTAGACACCTATCCTCCAACTTCAGGTCCCTGTGAGCAGGGTCTGCTCACCACTTGCCTGAGCACCTAAGGCTGTGACTTGCACTCAACTGGTGCTCAGTAACCACTTGTAGAACTCCTTCAATGACCTTGACACATGTCTAGTCTCTGCCTCTGGAGAGCTTACCATGGATCGGCATGCCTAACAAGAGGCTGGAAGGCTTATCATTTCTGCCCATGTTTGATGTTGAGAACAGGTTCTGGAGTCAGATCGCCAGTGCATGGAAGAGCTGGGATACAAACTCAGTATCTGGTCTGGTCTCAAGGGTGTCAGATAAGGACTGTGGGTCTCTGTTCATTTCTTTTACCGTCATAGCAACCTTACTGAATGGACAGACGATGGCTGAAGCTGAAAGAGGTTAAGTAACCTGACTGAGTTATTTCAGATTTTTAAAGTTTTCTATTTTTAGGAAGGTAATATGGTACACATACTATATATTATATAACACTTCCAGTGAGCTCTGAGCAGCACCCCATAGCAAACGTATTAACATATAAATCAAGGGGCGCCTGGGTGGCTCAGTTGGTTAAGTGTCCAACTTTGGCTCAGGTCACGATCTCCTGGTTCATGGGTTCAAGCCCCACATCAGGCTCTGTGCTGACAGCTCAGAGACTGGAACCTGCTTCAGATCCTGTGTCTCGCTTTCTCTCTGCTCCTCCCCTGCTCACACTGTATCTGTCTCTCAAAAACGAATAAATGTTTTAAAAAATTTAAAAAAAGATATAAATCAAGATTGGCATAAATCATACGATCAAGCACACTGAGTGGTATAATGAAGACTGTTACAGTCTCACTTTCCCTCAGATCAGGCTTTGCTGCCACATGGATTATAAAATATTTTCCAGTTTTCAGATCCTTTTGGATTTTCAGATTTGCTGGTAAGGGATTAGGACTGTAAATGTAAAGCACAAAACAGGTGCCGTGGTGCTGGGCACGCAGTAGCCACATAGTAAATGTAGTTTCCGTCCCTCTGGCCACTCTCTGATACCATCAAACCTCTCAGCTTTCCTCTCTCCTCCCTCCCCCAGGAGTGAGATAAGCTCCCATTGCCTTTCTTGCCCCTAGGTGGTGGCAACTGTGGATTCTGGCTTACCAATCTGTGTGGGCATCATCAATCACCAGCAGGATCCTAGGCCTTTGAATAATGGGAGCAGAGGGACCCGGAGGCTCCATCAGCCCTGAGGGGGCTGCTGACGTCTGCTTCATGGCACTGGAGAAGGAGCTAAAGAGGCTGGATCCTGGAGAGGAAAAGGAGGCCGCCAGGGGTTGGGGGTGCCTCCTCTCCATGGCTGGGGAAGCAGGGGAGCTGGTAGAGCTGTCTGGGCGCTGCAGGTCTGTCATGTAGCCATTAGGCAGGTTGGCCACAAAACTGCTGTCAGATAGGCGCCGCCGGAGGAAATTCATGGCTATGGATGGAAGAGATGGCTTGTTCCCACTCGGACTTGTTTAGGTGAGCCCCAGAACACAGGCTGCCAGGAAGAGGAGGTGGTAGGGTCTTAAGCCAGAAGAGCCAGGGGAATCCTGCCCAAGTAGGCTTCAGCTGTCTTTGCTAACCTGTGGAAACAGGCCAACACACAAATTAGTGGAAATGATCTCTGCCCCGTAAGAGCAAACAGATACGGCACCTTCCTGCCCCACTGCTGGGGGCAGTACAAAGTGGGACACCCTTTTGGAAAAGAATTTGGCAACATGTAATTAGAGCATAGCCTTTTAACCTACAATTTCCATTTTCTGGAATTCTACCCCAAGAAAGGAATATCAGTTACAGAAAAAATCTCCTGCACAAGTATATTTTTCATAGCATTATTTATACTAGCAAACTATTGGAAAGAATTTCAACCTTCAATCACAAAATAATGTAATAAATAAATAAACTACAGCACACCCACTCAGTGGAAATTTTTGTGGCTATCAAAACAGGGTATATAAAATGAGATTTTAGTAATACAGAAAACACTTCATGCTGTACTCAAAAAGATCACTCTACAAGTTTATAGGTATGGAATGACTACAACCACATAAAAGACAAAATAACATAACTTTGAATAGAAAATACATTGGAATGTTAACCACAATTATATTGGGATAATGTAATTACATGGCTTTTTTTCTTTTCACTTACCCATTTTTTCTAGAATATATATTGCTGTGGACTGAATTGTGTCCCCTAGTTTTCATATGTTGAAACCCTAACCCCCCAATGTGCTTATAATTGGAGATGGCGAACTTAGGAAGATAATTAAAGTTAAACGAGGGGGTGCCTAGGTGGCTCAGTTGGTTGAGTGTCTGGCTTAGGCTCAAGTCCTGATCATGTGGTTTGTGAGTTCGAGCCCTACGTCAGGCTTTGTGCTGACAGCTCAGAGCCTGAAGCCTGCTTCGAATACTGTCTCCCTCTCTCTGCCCCTCCCCCACTTGCACTGTTTCTCTCTCAAAAATAAATAATCATTAAAAAAAATTAAAGTAAGATGAGGTTATGGGGGTGGGGCCTCATGAGGAGATTAATGGCTTTAAAAGATGAGACACTACAGAGGCTTGCTCTCCCTCCACCAGGCGAGAACACAGGGAGAAGGAAGCTGAATGCAGGCCAGGAAGAGGCCTTCACCAGACACCAGCCATGCTGGCACCACGATCTCAGAGGCCCAGCCTCCAAAACTGTGAGAAAATAAATTGCTGTTGTTTAAGCCACACGGTCTATGGTATTTTGTTCTGGTAACCCAAGCAGACTAATACACATATGTATTGCTTTTCAGAACAGAAGAAAGTAAAAAACAAACAAAAACCAGATTATTCATTTGAGATCTAAATATCCCACTGAGAAAAATGATTATTTAAATGATGCAGTTAGACCCCTCATATTTTTTTTTGAGATTTTATATTTTTATTGAAGTAAAATTTACTTTGACTGAGATGTACAGTCCTCAAGTATACAACTCTTTGAGTTATGACAAATGAATACACTGATACAAGATTTATTATATTTATGTCATCTCAGAAAGTTCTCTTGTGCCCCTTTCTGGTCAATCCATGCATCCTCATAGGCAAACACACCACTGATATCTGTCACAATATATTAATCTTGAACTTCATATAAATGTGATCATATGTATGATTCTTTTGTGAAGGGCTTCCTGCTCTCAACAGCGGTTTTGAGACTCATCTAGGCTATACGTTTCAAGAGTCATTCTGTTTTTTCATTCCACTGGATGAATAAACCACAAATTTTTATACCCTCTCCTGTTGATAGACATTTGAAATGTTTCCAATTTGGGGGTATTATGAATAGAATTGTTATAAGGGTTTTTTATTTAAGTATTTTTGTGGGAAAAGAAAGAGTAAGAGAGAAAGAGAGTGAGAGGGAGACTTTTCTTCGGGGAAAATATCTAGAAGTGAATTTGTTGGATCATAGTGTAGAAATATGTTTCCCTTTACAAGAAACTGTCATAAAGTTTCCCATAGTGGTTGTGCTATTTTCACATTTTATTTGAGAGCTCCAGTTGCTTTACATCCTTATCAACATTTCATTGTTGTTAGTCTTTAACCTTAGCCATTCTGATGGTTCTTGAGCAAATGGCTAAGAAAGGATTCTTGAGATGTCCTCAGTGCAAAAGGTGATTTTATTAAAGCGTGAGGACAGGACTCAGGGGCAGAAAGAGCCTGTACTGGGGTTGTGAGGAGTGACTGTTTATATACTTTTAAGTTACTGGGGTTACGGATAGCATTAAGTCTCTAAGGAATTTGAAAGCAAGGCTTGCAGGGCCTAGAGGGGCTAGTTGGTGTTAAGATAAGGTTACTTTTAGTCTTTAATAAAACAAAAACATTAAGGAAATAAGGCAGCCATGAGTCGCTTGAGGAAGGTCACTCTCTGCATGTTTCAGGTGTCTATCAGTGGGTTGCCAGCTGTGAGATTTAATTTTTTTTTTTTTTTTACAAATAGTTTATTGTCAAATTAGTTTCTACATAACACTCAGTGCTCATCCCCAAAGTGCCCTCCACCATGCCCATCCCCCCCTCCCACCCACATCCATCAGTCCTCAGTTTTTGTCAGCATTCAAGAGTCTCTCATGGTTTGCCTCTCTCCCTTTCCCCCACCATTTCCGCCCTTCTTCTCCCCCTTGGTCCTCCGTCAAGTTCCTCCTAATCCTCCTATACGTGCAAACATATGATATTTGTCCTTCTCTGCCTGACTTATTTTGCTCAGCATAACACCCTCAAGGTCCATCCATGTTGCTACACATGGCCAGATTTCATTGTTTCTCATTGCCATGGAGTATTCCATGGTATAGATAAACTACATCTTCTTGATCCATTCATCTGTTGATGGACACTTAGGCTCTTTCCATGTTTTAGCTATTGTGGAGAGTGCTGCTATGAACATTGGGGTACATGTGCTCCTATGCCTCAGCATTTCTGTATCCCTTGGGTAAATTCCTAGCAGTGCTATTGCTGGGTCATAAGGGAGTTCTATTGTTAGTTTCCTGAGGAACCTCCACACTGTTTTCCAGAGGGGCTGTACCAGTTTACATTCCCACCAACAGTGTAGGAGGGTGCCCGTTTCTCCACATCCTCGCCAGCATCTAGAGTTCTCTGATTTGCTCATTTTAGCCACTCTGACTGGCGTGAGGTGGTATCTCAGTGTGGTTTTGATTTGTATTTCCCTGATGAGGAGGGATGCTGAGCATCGTTTCATGTGTCTGTTGGCCATCTGGATGTCCTCTTTGGAGAAGTGTCTGTTCATGTCTTCTGCCCATTTCTTCACTGGGTTGTTTGTTTTTCGGGCGTGTAGTTTGGTGAGTTCCTTATAGATTCTGGATATTAACCCTTTATCTGATATGTCATTTGCAACTATCTTTTCCCATTCCGTTGGTTGCCTATTGATTTTCTGGGTTGTTTCCTTGGCTGTGCAGAAGCTTTTAATCTTGATGAGGTCCCAACAGTTTATTTTTGCTCTTGATTCCCTTGCTTTTGGGGATGTGTCAAGTAAGAAGTTGCTGCGGTGGAGGTCAAGGAGGTTGTTTCCTGCTTTCTGTGAGATTTAATTTAAGCTATCTTTTTCTTGCCTTTGTTTCCCTCATCACTTCCAGTGGGTGTAAAATAGTGTCTAGTTGTGTTTTTAATTTATTTTCTCTGATACCTGATAAGGTTGAGTAACTTCCATGGATTTACGGATCATTAATATATCTTCTTTTAGGAAGCATCTGCTGTCTTTGGCCCACTTTTGAAATACGAATTGTTTATATTATTGATTTGGATTATCTGCCTAGGAGTTCTTCAAACATTGTGGATATAAGTCCTTTGTCAGATATGCATACTGTGAACATTTTCTCACTGTCTTTGGTTTGCCATGTCATTTCCTTCATGAACAGAAATTCGACAGAAAAAAATAACTCTTACAAAAAGTGTTTGTTGTTTACTTGAAATAAAAACATCCCAATGAGAAAAAAAATTGTATCATAGGATGAGACTATACTTCCATGTCTTGGTTATTAGAAATATTTTTTATGTACATACAAAAATGTATATATACACATATAAGTATACATATTTATATGTATGTACATGAAATCTGTTATATATATATCTGAAGATGTCCTGATAAACAAAATTTTTATGAAGTCCAAGTTACCAGATTTTTTCTTATGATTAGACCTTCCTGTATCTGCTTTTAAAAATCTTGCCAACCCCAAGATCATGAGGCTATTGTCTTTTAATTTCTTAAAGAAAATTTATAGTTTTAGCTTTTCTGTTTAGGTCTATAATCCTTCCAAACTTGATTTTTTTAAAAATTTATTTATTTATTTATTTTGAAAAAGATAGTGAGAGATAAAAAATATACATGAGCATGCATGTGAGTGGGGGAGGGGCAGAAAAAGGGAGAGAGAATTCCAAGGAGGCTCAATGCTGACTGCTGCTGGGCTTGAACTCATGAACTGTGAGATCATGACCTGCACAGAAACCAAGAGTCAGGTGCTTAACCAACTGAGCTACGCAGGTTCCCCCAAACTTGATTTTTTGAGTGGTGTGAGGTGAAGTTCACTTACCCAGTTTTCCAGCACCATTTCTGAAAATATTTTTTCCCCAATGAACTGCTTTGGTGGCTTTACTGACACCAATGAACTGAATCTGTATGGATCTATCTCTGGACTCTTTATTATGCTTCATTAATCTGTCTGTCCGTACACAGTCTTCATGACTGTGGCTTTATAGAAAGACCTGAAATCAAGAAAAATGAGTTCTCCAACTTAGATTTTCTTTCTGAAGATTGTTTAGGGTAATCGAGGTCTTATGTTCATATGCATTTTAAAATCAACTTGTATGAAAAAGTCTGTTTTGGGATATGGTTTGGGATTGTATAGAATCTACAGCTTAGTTTGGGTAGAAGTAACATCTTAACACTTGAATTTTCCATTTCACAAACATGC